GGTTGAAATGAGATTTGGTGATTAATTAACTATTTGAGAAAGAAGATTAAGATAATTAATCCTAGTTTTATTTCTTGGACAAAAATAATTCTGACATTATTTTGTGTTGTAGGCTTTAAAAAATTGTATATTTAAGTGCAAACATAACTTTCCTTTCGGTGTAACACACTATATCCTTTTGGATTTGTAAACTTGAAGGAAAGAGAAAATACAGCAAAACATAATCTGATTTACCATAAATAGCTTATTTTACAAAAAAAAAAATGCATGCAAACTTTTTACCACAGGAGCTTTGGGAAAAAAGTCATTTTGCCCTTGGAATAGGCTCCTGTGAACTTATCAGTGCACACTCCAACTTCAGATTATTTGAATTAGAAAGTGGGTAAAGTGCTATAGATTTCAAATGAGTTTCATTCAGTATTAATTTTTTGAGAAATCACTGTGATATACATATGTTTTATTGGACACACTGTTTATATGGTCCAGAGGAAAAATTATGAGGAACAAGTTAAAGGTTTCTGTATGGGCTCCTCACTGAAGTAGTTTTCTGTGCCTCAGTTTCCTTAAGATATAGATAGCATAATTAAAATGCCAAGAGTGTCCTATGTACTTCGCAGTTTGTTGCAATTCTATTTTGAATGAATATTTGAGAGTGAGTGTGTGTGTGTGTCCAAATCAATTTTTTTCTAAACATTTCATACAAATGAAGCTTTTGGTTTTATTTTTGTTTTCATCCAGGATCCTGATATTTATCTACCTACTATTATATTTCTTTGCTGGGTAGAAACTGTGGTGTTTTTCTCCTGTCAGGGATTTTTCTCTCTGAAGCTGACACTGATGAAACATGGGGACATGAGGGCATGCTGCTGAGTCTGGCATCTCCTGTGTGCACACTGCTTTAAAGGCCTCATGGTTTTTTAAAGGCTATCCTTGGTTCCTAAGCATGTCTGTGGGTGACAGGGAGCCTAGGAATATGTATTAGGAAATTAGGCAAATATCATAAATATTTTATATTTTGAAGTTACTTTTCAATTTCAAGTATAGGGAAAACTCCTTCAGTTTTATAAACAGAGTAAAATAAGTTCTTAAAAAATATTTTTTTCTCATTTTTTTTCCAATTTATCTTATCCATAAGGGAACAACAAAAATTTGCCTTTCAGAAATTTATTATCCTACCTTTGTAATAAATTATTCTCAACCTTTGGTTCTCCCTGTAATTTTTCTCTTTGCTCTCTATATGATACCCACTGGTATTTCTATATCAAACGGTAGGATAAGATCCAAGCTAATTTATTTCGTATTTTTAAACAGGTTTACTCTGCCAGCAATTTTACTGTCAATTTAAAGGACATCTAGAAATTATTTGTATGTGCTATTCATTCTATCAATGTCTCATTAGCTTATTTTGTTTAAAATCTGCTGCATCATCAAGAGATTTAAAAAAAAAATACAACCATGCATGAACAAAGATAATGACCACTCATTACCACCTGGACAGCAGACATTTTTACCAAGACTGTTTTCAAGGTTAATCTGAGGATAAATGAAAAAGTTCAGAACCAATGGAATTTTCTAAGGCAATCAAAAAACAGGTTAAGTCTGGGTGAGATAACAAGGGGCTTCACTTACAGGGTTTATGCGCTTAAAATGCCGACCTCTCAAGTATCCCTGACATCCTCATGAGGGAAAATTTCTCTGATGATACATGCCAAATAGCTCATTAAGAATATAGCATAAAGAGGATAAATTACAAAGTTGAAAGGTGAACAAGGTAACTGAAGGCTGCAGCAAGTTAAATGCAAGTCCCCTGATTTATCGGGGAGTTTTGTACCTCATTCGAAGCAAGTACACTAAGTTGCTCATGGTGAAAACTAGCTGCCATGAAGAAGACCTGGCCATGTGAGCATTGATTGGGAATAATAAGATTGCAACAGGAAGTCTAGTGCTCAACTGTTTAAAAATTTCAAGGGATAATATTTTTACTACATAACAATTTTTTTGATACACAATCCTTTCTTTTTCCTAGAAATATAGTACTAAGAAAGTTAAGATTCTGATGTGATCAGGTACCACAATGAGGTACATGTGTTTTTGAGGACAATAAAAGCTCTTATCAAAAGCTTTCTGAATATCATTAGCTTGAACTTATGTGTGGTAATATAAGTTACACTTGTCAAACTCCTGCTGCATTTGCCACTTAGAGATATTACGGATAATAAATCCTGGTACTTGGTCCTCAATCTTAAGTGATAATCAGATTTTTTGAGAGATTAAGACTGAGTGAACACAAAGTATCAAATTTACTAATAAGAAGTGAATATATTCCCTTTATCAAACATGCAGTCAGACAAGGAGCACAGGCAAGGAAAGAGTACAGGACATTCTACATAGCTTCCCAGGTCCTTTCTTCTCACATTGGACATTACATTCTATCTCCAATGAAGGTTTTGTCAGACTTATTTTCATAAGGGGAACCATTTGCATTAAGAAATACCTCAGTTTTTATTCTAGAAAGTGTAAACTATCAGGACATTTTCCAGGGTCCATTAATCCATAATTCCTAAGCTTATTGACCATAATAATTCCTATAATAACCCCTTAGTCTAGGATATCTTCCTAAAGATTTTTTTTTTGTGTGTGTGTGTGTATGTGTGTAAGGACTCTTCTTCCTAGTAAATATTAGCAGACTATGTTTCCGGAATTACAGTTGAAAGGGTTATTAAACTTACTTTCCATCCTAACTTCTGCCATAAAAGGAATGAGTGGATCTTATGTTAGCTATTTTAACTCTTCCAAAATACTAATCAATGAGATATAATTGGGTTGAAATTTATGAAAACATCTCTAAGGGCATCTAAATATTCATGCATATAACCTATTTTTGCAAACCCAATAAAACTGCCTGAGAAAAAATAAAATTATGCCTACAATTTATAGAATTAGCCTCTAACATTAAAGAATAAGGTAGTAGTGGAGGTGATGATGATAATGATTATAATAGTAATTGAGCTCTCACTATATGTCAAGCACTATATACTTGTTTTATACTATAAATACTAGTATATATATAAAACTATAATAGTGGCTGGGGTTGTGGCTCAGTGGTAGAGCACTCACCTCACACTTGTGAGACCCTGGGTTCTATCCTCAGCACCACATAAACATAAATAAGTGAAATAAATTATTGTGTCCAACTGCAACTAAAAAATAAATATTTTAAAAAACTACAATAAAGATCATAATAATAATCTTCTGAGATAGATTCTATTATTTTTCCCATTTAACAGAAACAGAAATAGAGGAATAGAGAAGTTAAGAGACTTGGCCAGATTTATGCAGCTAGTAGACAGCATAATGTCAGCCAAAAAAGACAAGAAATGGAGTTACAGGTTATGACAAGTGAGATATAGTCTAGTAGCAACATCACAGAGGTGATAATTGAAGCAGTTTATATACTGAGGTAATAATTTGTTGTCCAAATAAAAGCCATTATTAAGCCAAAATTCTAATTCAGACATACTTTGATATTGACATGATTCAGAATGTGACGTTGATTTACAAAATCCTAAATAATGTGAAGTCAGATAAACTAAAGTCAGAAAAGAATGGTAAACAAGAGCGAAAGAAGTATGACCTACATTGCCATCTGTTGGGGAAAGGAACATCTGTCACGTTGAATGAAAGATGAAGCTGAGAAGTTCCCAAGGAATCTCAACAGCTAACACTGCTGGTTAAGAGTAAAAGCACTTTTCAAGCCTAATTTAGTTTCCATATACATCTATTTGTGTATATATTTTATATATTATGTATATACACATAATTTACCTTTTTTACCATTTGAAATTTCTTAACTGATACATAAGAACATAAAATTGTATATATTAGTGGATACCATGTAATTTTTTAAATATATGTGTATATATATATATATGTACATATACATATGTACATGTATATCCACACACACATATATAACACACTTTGTGTAATATTTAAAGATATCTATCTTAAAATATTAAAGATATCTATCTCTTAGGCATTTATCTTCATGGTAAAAAAATGTTCAAAATTCTTCTAGATTTTGAAATAGTATATTTTGGTTGTAATTGCATAAGTATATTTATAGAAGGAGGAAAATAAGCCTCTAATAATTTTAAAAAAACCATGAATTTTGAGATTCCCAGGAATAAAATTTGAATGACATTTAAATGAAATTGTGCTGGAGTAAAGCATATTGCATTGTCTAAATTTATCTGCAGAGTAGCTTTTTGTGTTCACCAGAACATCATGCATTCTAACAAATGTAGTCACCCATGATTCAAGATAAGGTGGCAAAACTTGAACCTGGAATTGAGTCTCAGCTCTAACATGATGTCATTTTTTTTTTCAATTTGTTCTAATTAGTTACGCATGAAAGCAGAGTGCATTTTGATTCATTGTACACAAATGGAGCCCAGGTTTTCATTTCTCTGGTTGTACACTAGGTAGAGTCCCACCATATGTGCAGTCATACAAGTACCTAGAGTAATGATATTCATATCATTCCACCATCTTTCCTGTCCCTATGCTTTTTCCCCTCCTCCCTCCCCCTTGCTCAATCAAAGTTCCTCCATTCTCCTCACAGTCCCCCCTCCCCAATTATGGATCACCATCCACTTATCAGAGAGAACATCCAGCCTTTGGTTTGGGGGGTTCGGCTTACTTGCCTTAGAATGCTATTCTCCAACCCCATCCATTTACCTGTAAATGCCATAATTTTATTCTCTTTTAATAACATGATGTCATTTTGTATAGTCATTTGACTCTTGGAAACTAAATTTCCTATAAGTGAATTTCAAGATTACTTTCAATTGTACTCTTGTTTATGTTGTATACACATTAGAAGGTCTTTTAATAACTTGTGCTTGAAATATTTACTTTCTAGATGGAAGTTTAGTTTGTAGAACTTCCTATATTTTAGTACTACGAATTTTTATACCACTATCTGTTCTCTCCTTTAGGGTGGAGTGAGTGGTTTGACTGGAGAGCTAGAATTTGGAGAAAATGGAGGTAATCCCAATGTCCATTTTGAAATTCTTGGAACCAATTACGGAGAAGAGCTTGGCAGAGGTGTTCGAAAAGTAAGCCCAGACACATTTTAAAATATGCTTTTTCCTATGACTTTCATGATTTGCTTGACTTTCTCTATACAATTTGATCACAGCACATGTTAAAGTTCACATTGTAGTTTGAAAGAGAAAGTGAGGGGAAGGTGAGAGAGAAAGTCCGTGAGAATTAGTGATTGAAATGATTTTAAATATTAAGTATTTAAGTACTTAAATACAGAAGTATTAAGCAGTAAATTTTATTTATGCCTCAGAATAATTTAAAGGAAAATATAATCTGATGTGTGCCTAGGGAAATGATATTATTGCTCATTCATTATAATGATAATTTTTATAAAGTGTGAGTTTCATATTTATATAATGCCTAGCTGTTTGATTATTAGTTTGTAACATGCACAAAATCAGAATAATAGCTTGGATATATTTTCTATGGTAGGACAGAAAGACTACAATAAAATGTGACATTGTAGTATTGCACCGTCTATGTGTGCAGTATAATAAGTATAAAAAGTCGTTGGAAATAAACTCTTGTTATATACTACAGATCATATAAGAAGCAGCTAAGTGCCAATAAAGGATGTCTCATGAAATACTTGGACAATAACTTTCTGAAGAAGAAATGTAAAAGCCCTAGGAGAAATGGCTTTTCTGTAGTTTGGATTTGCCATTTTTATGTGTTTTTGGTAGGGATAAACCTGAGGTGATTAAATTTGCATTCAGAGCTGATAACTATAAATTTCTAACTATATGGAGTTGACTGCATTGAGAGTAAGTGTCTCTTCAGTAGGTGTTTCCTTCCAGGGCTGGTGTAAGATTCAGAAAACCTGGACAAAATGAAGTTAGGACTTGTTCTTCTGGTCAATAAACATTCATCAGAAAATTTATGCTAAGTTGAAACTATCATAATACATTTTTAAATTTTTGTTTTATAGTGAAGAATAGCAAACATATAAAAAGCTTTATGAAATACACCAGTGTGATCTCCACACAGATTAGATTACAGAACATTTCCATCACTGAAAAGGTCCCATCACTCCTGTTCAATCCCTAGTAAGGATGACAGTTTGCGTGGCCTGGAATATCACATAAGCAGATACTGTAGAAGTCATTTGTAACTTATTTTTTTTCCTCAACGATTTTTAAAATTTTTTTAGTTGTTGATATACCTTTATTTTTTATTATATATGTGGTGCTGAGGATCAAACCCAGTGTCTCACACATGCTAGGCAAGCGCTCTGACACTGAGGCACAACCCCAGCCCTCAATGTATTTTTTTTAAATGATACAGTCTTCTTGTTAGCAGCAGAGTTTTGGGGGTTTTGTCTGTTTAATTTGTATTCCTCAGTGGTACTATATCATATAAATATAAAATGGCATCTTTTAAAATTTTATTTTCTGTTTATTGTTGACATGAAAATAATATTAATATTATGTATTGACTTTATATTTGATTACCTTGCTCAGCTTTTTAATTCTAATTATTTCTTTGTCCACTGAAAATTTTCTTATCATCTGAAATTAATGAGCGTTTTTATCTCTTCTTTTGTAATTTTACACTTTTTATTTTTCCTGTCTTAATATACTGGCTAGAACCTCTGAGAAAATGTTAAATGGAGATAGCAGTATCTTTGGATTGTTATCAGTCTGAGAGAAAAAATATGTTAACATTATACTAGAACATAAGTATTTTTTTCTTTTTAATAACTTTGACCAGATTAAGTAAATTTAATCCATTCCTGGTATGCACATAATTTTACATGAAAATTGTGTTTACATGACATAAAATTATCATATTTATATTTACATAAAATTATATGATTTGCTCTCATATTGCTTAAGGTTGTTTCATTTATATTTTTGAATGGGGTTTCCTAAAATTGTCCATAATGTTAGATTTTGATGCTAAGATTATGCTCTACTTAACCTAAATGAGTTAGTAATATGAACCATCCAAGAACCAGATCCAGGATAGAATAACTGTTTTTGCAATTAGCTTTAATTAATGGGAGAAATCACAGTGGAGTGGCCATGTATTTAAATAGCAACCACAGAAAAGTAAAAATGTGAAGAAGGTAACATATTTGTGTAGTAATTAAATGAATTTGTGATGGTGAAAGGGAGAAATTTTAGGATGTAAGACTTGAGTATATATGAATGCTCACAGACCAAGCCAGGAGAGAGGAATAGATGAAGATATAGGATCATTGATAGAAGTCCAGGAGAAAAAAAGAGAATTGTATCTTATCCAGAATTGGATGGACTGTTTGTACTTATGAATGGAGGGGTCCATATTTTCCAGAGTGATAAGAGAGCAGGTAAAAAAACTATTAGAGTCTGTAAACAAGTCAAGATGGCACCTGGCATTTTGCCAGAGGGAGTGGTTTGTGAAGTAATCTCCATTAAGTGTGGAGATTCCTTATTGGTTGACTGCTGTATCTAGTTTATGTTAATTAAGATAAGCTGTGTGGAATGTATATATATATATATATCCCTCCTGTCCTACAATAAACGGCTCCCACTCCTGCTGCATCAACCTTCACAAGTTCCTCCTCACCCCCCGGTTATTTGCCCCGCCAGCCGGGCTTCGGCAAGTAACAGTGGTACATTTGAAAGCAAGTCTTCACTTTTGGAAGTTAAAGGAATGGTCTAAACTATATTATCTTTTCCGGGAAAAGTAAAGAATGGGATTAATTTGCTAAGGAGGAAAGAACATTGGAGAGCCAGCAACTTGGGGGGGCTGAGACAGGAGCATGGCAAATTCAAGGCAGCCTCAGCAACTTAGTGAGACCGTAAGCATCTTAGCAAGATTCTGTCTCAACATAAAAAATAAAAAGGGCTGGGGATGTGGCTAGGTTGTTAAGCACCCCTGGGTTCAATCCTAGTAACAACATTAAGCAAAACATGGAGATAATAAAGCTGGAGACAGATTTGAAATGGTTGCTGTGGCACACAGCAGAGAACTGATTAGGATACAAGGAAGCATCACCAGGCCAGGCTCTTGACCCCTATGAGGTTGAAAAACTCACTATAGCATGAATCTCCATGATTATGTATGTTTGCTTGGCAACAATCAGCAGACTGAATGAGATTGGATTAATGTAAGCTTGAGGTTTCATCAAGTTGTTTTGTTTTGTTTGTGGTGTTTTTGATAGCACAATGAGGCAATGAAATCAGATTTTGGCAAGATACAGTTGAAGTGGCAAAGCATGAAATCTAAATTGAACATGAATAGCGAGCAGTAAAGATAGGAGAATTCTCAAAATAGAGAGAAAGTGAGGCTTAAGAGAATAGAGCCCTCAATGTGTCTAAAGAGCCTATATTTTAAAAGGGATTAAGTGAGAGCTTCAGAGCCAGGAAGTAGTCTTTGGGGAGAGAGACTTCTGAATTTGTAATTCTAAGAGGGGATGGTTTCCAGGTGTTCACCATGTCATGCTTGGCAGAAGAGCCCTTCATTTAGCCTTCTAAGAACATTGTGGTTCAATGTAATTGCTTCACCCTCCTTGCTCTGAATTCAAAATCTGTAATTTATTCTCTCTGCCAGTAAGGTGACAGTGATTTATAGATACCATATCAAGTCTGCTTTATTGTTAGGAAATATTAAATAATTCCTGAAATTTTAGTTGTTTGAGTTTCTGTGCTTCAGCTCCTAAACTGGTTGGAACTGCTCCTATGAGCTGGCATTTTATAGACACTATGTGAAAAGTACTATTTTGCACCAAATATTTACTCATGGTGTCTTTTACATTGTTGACACTTTTTTTGTATTATTGTTTTAAAAATTTTTAAACATTCTTAATTTTTAAATATTTATTTCTATAATGTATATGTTTGCTACTAATTTGTAATTTTAATTAACTGCTGAATTGACAAAAATCCAAATCCAATTCTCAAGTAATTGTAAGAACATTTTAAAATAGTTTTGGGATTGGCAGCTCCATTTATAAATAGGGCAGTTGATTCATACAGGCATTAACACATATAGTAATGTTTTCAAAGAGACTTAGCAAGGGAAAACATTGCCTTGCAAATGGTTTTTTTTTTTTTTTTTGCAGTATAGACTTACTAGATGTATGCCTGAAATTAAGGTTCCATTCCCTGTTTCTCCATGTCTCGAGAAGAGTGAATGGCTTTCCAATTGATGAACTGTCAAGTTGTCAGTGTTTATTCTGTTGCCAGTGGCTAAGTGTACACAATGCCTGCAGCCTTATCACCTCAAGCAGGGATACTGTCAGATCTCATACACTAAGCAGAGTTTTGTCTGTTCAGAATTTGACCAAGGGTTCAGTCCTAAATTTTTGACTAGTCTGTGCTTTCTTGGCATTATATGAATGAAGGCTTCATTTTTCTGAATTTGTTGAGAATGTGAAAAGGATTATTTAATTTTCACTGATGCTGATCAAAATGAAGAGCTTTCCTGCTCTGATATTTTCTACATGTTCCTTTACTTTGATGTAAGCTGTTTCTTCAGAAAATAGTATACTGAAGCTACTAGCACACCATGTATCCTTGAGATAAATTCAGGTGAAACTCAAAGCCAAGTTTAGAAACCATCAAGATGTTCTGTATCCTTAAACTCTGCAAGAATATAATTGTTCCTGTTTATGTCCATTACAATATAGAATTTCGAAGGAATGATTTAATTCTAACAATATCAAATATAACAAAATTTTTTATAAGAGCTAAATATTAAATTACATAACTTTGCTTTTGAAGAATCAATATATGCTTTTTCTTAGAAAAGGAATGCAATATAACAGCTTTTTTACTTGTCTGAATTTTCTTTCTTTTGTTCAGTTGCCAATGCTACTCGCATTTTACTGTGAAGACTGAGTTCTAGCATTAAAATGTAATACTCTAGACTTAATGTCTTTGAACTTTATCACAAACAAGAAAATAAAGCTAGGAAAAGTAGATTAAAGCTAGTTTCACAACCTATCTTAATTGCATAGTAATGCTTAGTATCTTCATAAAAGTGTTTTCTCAGAAGTTGATGAAATAAAATGGTACAGCAGAGA